CCAATGTTGGATTTATTAAAACTATTTTTCAATTAAATTAAGGTAGAATGTTCAAATAACTCCAGCCACAAAGAAAAATAGGTTTCCCTCGGTCACTATGCCAGTAGCGAAGGCCGCGAAACAAGTGCTACGCAGTAGAGGGACAAACGCAAAACATTGGAATTTTTAACAGAATGGCACAAAATATTTGGTTTTACCCATTTTAGTATATAACTTTAGCCAGTCTAGGTCACTTGAGGTGTTTTGAGGCAGTTTCGACTCCAGCCCCCAATCAGTCTCGAACCTGGGTCTTGAGCACCATGAGGACACTTGGTACTCCGCCACACGGACACAGAATGCAGTCCAGCCTGGGTGAGAAAACCTTTTGTGTGATTGGTCACAATGATTTGGGAGTATTTCAAGAAAAGTCTCCTTCATCGCATAATTCAAGAGAATTCGTTCCTTGGTTTTATGGTGAGTCCGAATCACGAATGCCTTTCAGCCAACTTTTTCTTCGAGATGAAAAGTCATGTCACTATGATTACTACTGGTCTGAATAAAGTCATTATTTTTGCACATAGGAGTTCATATTCATAATAGGCAGGTTTTGATGCCATCGGTAGATTTTAACTAAGGACGGTAGTCATTATCCTATGCAACCTAAAGCGGCCACATTTCTTGTAATCAATTTTATGAGTCTGCACTGAAAAATGCACAAACTTAGCCAAACTTGAGTTCGAAACTATGAAATCTAAAGGGGGTATAACACATACACATATAAGTGAATCAGTCTATTCATCTAAAAATGCATCGGATTTGAGTAGCATAACAGACTAAAGATTAACAATTTGTCAGTTGGCTCGAGCGCGAAAGTTCCAGAGCTAGCTTTTGACCGGTTTTGAGGAGTCAAGGTCTTTTGGTAGATGCACCCTCTTGCTCGATCCCTATCCCTTTTTCCCTGTTCAAGGCCAGGCAGGAAGCTCTCCGGCCCCGTTCCAGGAGCGGTATTCGGCAGAACCTTTTTGATCTCGACCTGACAGAGTTGGGCTTCTCAGACCCGTGCACACTTCGGCTCGTCCAGGCATCTCGAGACGCTTGTGCTCACTTAACCCGAGTCTGAGGTGATCTGAACCACGAGCTGATAGGATCCTCTGCCGCAGTGCACGCGAGGACAGAGCCACCATTTGCAGAAGCAACGTGACACATCTCTTCGGTTGACAAGTATCTGGCCCTCCAGTGCTCTTGCCGCCTACCACTCGGCGTCCTCACCCACCAACCCTTCAGTTTCACACTCTTCCCCCCCTCCCCTCCCCCCCGACCGCCACCAGCAGCGTTGCCAAGGCGTAATCTGTCGACTCAGCTGATGCTCCGGCTGAGGTGAGTGAAGAATGA